TACATCCACCCGTACACCTGTACATCCACCTGTACATCCACCTATACACCTGTACATCCACCTGTACATCCACCTATATATCCACCTATACACCTATACAGTTATACATCCACCTATACACCTATACAGTTATACATCCACCTATACACCTGTACATCCACCTATACACCTATAAACCTATACACCTATGCATCCATCTATACACCTACACATCCACCTATACATCCACCTATACAGTTATACATCCACCTATACACCTGTACATCCACCTATACAGTTATACATCCACCTATACACCTGTACATCCATCTATCCATCATGTGTTATGGGAACTGCACCACCAGGGCGGGACAGCAGGCTCTACAGGCTGTCATTACAGCATCACGGTCCATGTGTGGGATTGCTTTCCCATCACTGGAGGGGACGCCTTATAACAACGGGGTCCTAAAGAGGCACCCCCTCCCCCCACAGCACACACTGCAGTCACCTGTACATCTACACTGACATCCTGCAGACTCTTTCTGACCACTCTCAGCTCTTTCCTATACAGTGCTTGCTCTATTTTTCTATGCTTTTTTAAAAAAGTGTGACTTTTGTATATATTTGATTTATTTGTGTGTAGAGAAGGTAAAAATTTCCTTGCTTAGCTCTGCAGCATGTAGAGAATCCTACATGCCAATCGTTCGGTAACACCTCGTCTGATCCCCACAGGCACAACGGGAACATCCTGCTGGACTCCGAGGGCCACATCATCCACATCGACTTTGGCTTCATCCTCTCCAGCTCTCCTCGCAACCTCGGCTTCGAGACATCTGCCTTTAAGCTGACCTCGGAGTTCGTGGACGTGAGTAGAAACAGCCTGAGGATGTGTTGGAGGGAGATGATCCCGGGCAGAGGTTGATCACAATTTTGGGCTCAGGTGTAGTATCCTGATATTTACCTGTCACTGAGAACAGACCAGCACGCAGATGGAGGGCTGCCCTGCACGTCTGGATGGGATTTTTAGCCACTCAAAGCCGACTCTCTGCTGACTCGTAGATGAATCGTTCATTTTGTTTTTGGAACTTCAAAGTTGCTAAGGATCCTTTCTGGTGTCCGACAGCTGTCAGCAGCAGGATCAGGAGATCCCACATGTTCTGTTCAGCATTGAGCCCTCAGCACCGCCGGTCACAGCCGGCTCGGTCGTGGTTTCTCAGCCGGGCGCTGCAGAGGTTTAGTTTTGATTTGGATGAATTTCTGTTTGATTCACGCGTGGATCGCTGAAGGACTCTAGAAATCGGGGTTTCATGGCTCCTGATGACAGAAGCTTTTATTTTGGTGGAAGAAAAGCTTCCTGTGGAGTTTAGCATGGTGGCTGTCCTGATGCCCGGTGTTTGCTGTGTTTCAGGTGATGGGTGGGCTGAACGGAGATATGTTCAACTACTACAAGTTGCTGATGCTTCAGGGTCTCATCGCAGCCAGGAAGCACATGGAGAAGGTGCTGCAGATCGTGGAGATCATGCAGCAAGGTAACACCATTGCGCCTTTCTTACAGCTGAAAACGGCACACACGCGCGGCCTAAGCCTAACCCCGTATTTACAGCTGTAAGTACGAGTCGCAGTCAGTCTTAGTCTGTAGGACGGGGATACTTTCTGTTCCACATCATCAGGGAACAGGTCCGGCCACAAAGTTCGTCCCTGCTGAAAACTCCAAACTTTTTATTATCCAGAACAAAAGCTCATGTTTGAGTTTGTACAGATGATGCAGCGAGTCACACTCCACCTAACTCCAGGCAGCAGAGGCCAAGCTAGCAGACAGCTAGCAGCTGCAGCCTACAGCCGGTTTTTGCAAATTTCACTATTCAGTGATATTAGAGTCATTACGGAAACTGCCAACACTGCGTCACAGCAGCCCGGCAAGACAAAGGTTAAGGAGTTCTCTTATTGGCCCCTATAACCCTCGCAGTGAAGCTGCAACAACAAACTCATTCCTGCGTCACATCGTAGCGCTGTCGGCGACTCGGGTGGAGATCCAGAGTGCACGAATTGACCGGTGTGGGTTTAAGGACGTGTTTGCCAGTCAGCTGTTAACAAAGTTGTTGTGCACTCTTATTTTAACCCCACAGGTTCCCACCTGCCGTGCTTCCACGGCTCGAGCACCATCCGTAGCCTGAAGGACCGTTTCCACATGTCTCTGACAGAGGAGCAGCTGCAGCTGCTGGTGGAGCAGCTCGTGGACGGGTCCGTGCGCTCCATCACCACCAAACTCTACGACTCCTTCCAGTATGTCACCAACGGCATCATGTGACCCGTCTGGACTGAGCGACGGCGGTGGCCGGAGCCGGCAGACGTTTCGCTGCGCCTCGTCACCGTCATCGGGGTCGAAGCGGCTGCTGGAAGACTCGATAGAGACGGAAACCACTTCATCACATTGTTTATGGATTTACATCTGCAGCTAATCGAAGCGACAGCACGGCAGATTCGACTTCCTGCTGCCCGTCACACGGAAACGCGTGAACTCGTCACTGCTGTCGACTTTATTAACCAGCTCATAATCACTACTAAACTGCCCAGCAGCAGAGCGTTTACAGACACAACCACCACTACTTCACCCATCCTTCAGCTAAAAACAGCTCAATGTTTCCGATTCCACGTCTGTTGACAGGAAAACGTCTGAGAAAGGCGTTTTGTTCTTTCCAGCAAACATCCTGTAATTACAGAAGCTCCTTTTCCAAAGATAAAAGTCTCGTAATCGTAAGCCCGAGATTCCAGAAGGCGGCCTCTTTTTCCTCCCAACTTGTCATAGTTTAAAGTGGACTCAGAGGAGAAATCTGCAGTAACTCGAGGGTGAGCCCGAGGATGCGTCTGACTGGGTCGGCACGAACCTTCTCTTGACGTTTAAATGAAGTCCGAGTGGACGCGAACACCAGCAGAGGTCGAAGGAGTTTGCTCTCCGAATCAGAATGGCTACGAGGAAAAAGCACAACGTGAACTCAGCGTTCTCGGCACGCTCACAGAAAGGCTGACGTATCCACCCTCCTTTACAGATTATCGCTTTATCTTCCAGCAGCATTCCTGTTTTCACCAGACATTTCTCACAGCTCATCGTCAGCCTTGTCCTGACATTTTTAGCAACTGTAAGCGCGTCGAGGTTTGGGCAAGCTCAAATTCTTTTGTCCTGAACGTCCATTAGCCTGAGCCAGTGACCACTGTTGCTCATTTTCCTCTGTTTTATTTCATTGTATTTCACTTTTTCCTAAACTGTTATTTTACCACTTTAGCTCATTTTTCTTTCCCAAATATCTATTTAGCTGTTTGGTTTTTAACAGAGTCACTGTCATGCTAGCTATGCTAATGGAGAATTACTCACAGACTGTGGAGGAGCAAAGTCCAGAATATTTATTAGAAATATGGCCATTACTATAATAAACTACATTATTATTTTTTAATTACTAGGGGAGATGTCTTTTTAAGCTAATGTTCCTGTACTAGCTAACAAAATTAATACCTAATAATGGATTGGATTTATATAGCGCTTTTCAAGGCACCCAAAGCGCTTTACAATGCCACTAGTCATTCACTCTCACACACTGGTGGAGGCAGCTACAGGTGTAGCCACAGCTGCCCTGGGGCAGACTGACAGAAGCGAGGCTGCCATATCGCGCCATCAGCCCCTCTGGCCAACACCAGTAGGCAAGTAGGGTAAAGTGTCTTGCCCAAGGACACAACGACCAGGACAGAGAGCCCAGGGATCGAACCGGCGACCTTCCGGTTACAGGTGCGATTCCCAACCCCCTGAGCCACGGTCACCTAGCTAAGGCTAATCAAAGAAATAAATGAGTCCTGTCCTCATTTCCTAATAACATTACTCTTTCACTGCTGTAGTATACAGCTTATGCTCTCTCACTAGCTAATAACCACTAAACTACTAGCAGCAGAGAGTATACGTTTATTATACACTTAAGTTGATTCTTCCCTCATTGCAGTTTGTTGGCAATTAACCTGACAGTGTCTTTGCTAAAACTTTTCGCCAAGTTACTTTTTTTATTTATTCCTCTCTAAAATAAGTACGTTTTGTAACAAGATAACAAACACGCCATTTTAGTTGCTGTCTCTCTATAAGCCTACTTTCGTCTGATTGGCTGACTTGCAGTAGTCTGTAGAGGGGCAGCACTTTCTTCTGAACTGCACTTTCCGTTTAAACCTTTGACCAACTAGCATCAGCACAAAAAACACAGTAAGTTGCCTTTGAGAGCTTTTATAAAACAGTTTTGTCTTGTTAGTGTAAGAAAATACTAAACCTTTATCAATGTGACGAGTGTCTGGTGAAAATTTTTTTTATTTTATTTTAATGTTTGTTACAACATCTTTTTAGGTCCAATTTCAATTTCTGAAAAAAAGTTACTGAAGTTTTGTTGTTCATGTGTTTCTGTCAACTCGGTGCACATGCTAGAAATTATACAATGACAATGTCAGTGTACAGTAAGTGGCCGTTCGGAGCCAAAGGGTTCTTATCAGGAGAAGTATACTTATTATTATCACTTTGGACTAAACGCGTTATTGTTATGTGAGTCTGTATTTACGTACTAAGAGCTCAGCAGTGTTCCTCTCCGATTGGCCCCAATTCCCTTGGTTAATGCTGGCCAGTCAGAAGAGGCGGTTCTGTGCACGCTGAGCTTGGGTTCTTTGAGACTGACGGTCAGTTTCCTGAACACGTGAATGTTTTAGACGTGTTCTCACTGTTGAGCGAAAGCTAGCGGTTTTAGCAGCTGCTGCTGATGTCGCTCTGATGCTGGAACACTGGCTTTATTTCAGCGTCTTACACATAGAAACGGCTTCCTGTGTATTTCTACACAGCACCTCTACCTGACGCACTAAACGAGAACGTTTCGGATAGCGTTTGCTAGCTAACAGTTGTCATTTCTGTAAATAGCAACTTTCCCCGCTGTTTAAGGCCAGCAGCAGTTCACTGGAGGCTGGCTTTGAGCTGCAGTTCCAGTTATGACTGAAATCAAACAAAGCATTTTTACAGCTAGCTAAACGGTAAGCTAATGCAGCGTTACATTTGTAGAGATGAGCAGTTAACTGATTACATAGCTGGAGCTACTTTCAGTGAAAGAACGTGTTATAGTGGCAGTTTCCTCTAAAACGATTAAAATATAATTTTACTCTCAGATGCACTTGATTATTAGCAGGTAGCAAGACACAAAATCTTTCCAATTTGGTTATTCCACACGAATGGTAATCAGCTAACATCAGGTCGGGGCTAAAATCTGGTCACCTGACGCTCGGACATTATGACAGTTTTATTTTCTGTTTTGTTTTTATTCTTGTTTAATAGTGAATGTTTAACTGTGAAAAGGGGGACGCTGAGCCGGCGGACAGTGAACTGGGTCTTGCTGGAATAAAGCCAGTGTTTGTAGTAGTTTTCTGACCACTGTAAAAGGACAACCACAGTTCTGTTGTCGTGAACGCCACGTTACCGTCTGCTAACTAGCTCACTATTTTACGTGCAGCTGTGTCTAAAGTTTACCAGATTAGCAAACGCTCTTTGCATTCTTTGTCGTTCGTTATTTGTGAATCTGTACACGAACCGAGTGTTTCCCGTGAGAAAAATCGATGCCTTGAGACGTACAGAAGGTACAAACTTATCAATGCAACAGGAGGGACGGTGGGACCTCAGAAGTGCTTTTTATATCCTCGGTTTGACGGCTCCAGGGACAAGTTTCAACACTCCAGTACCCCTCGCTCATCTGCATTTATTTACATTTCAAGTCCCGTCTCGGGGTGTAAGCGCTACAGAGGGGCTCTTTAAAATGTAAAATCATTGGAGTGATACTGCAGTTTGACAAGCTGGAGACGCCTGTAAAGTCGAGCCAAATGATGGGTTAGTTGCAGTTTGGAGGCTAGTGGGGAGAACGGATGGTTGAAACTCATCCCTGCCGCTGAACATCCTCATTGCCTTTCTGTCATCAGCTCTGAACACAGTCAGTGTGAAAAAGTGCATTTATGAAACGTTTCTGTCGTTTGTGAGGATTCTTTGTTGTTAATATTTTACTAAAACACGGAGTCATACAGCAGCCATGTTAGTGTTTGGTTTTTGAGGAATTTCTATGGGAAATGCTAACGACGCTAACGTCACGGTCAACGATACTTTTCACTGTGTGAAGAAACATTATATGAAAACACTTTGAGTGATTTCTGAGGTAATTCACAAACAGCATCATCTCAGGAGACGGGAGGAGGACGCGTGAGATCAACAAGTCATTTACCCCAAATCATACCGCGTGCTTATGAAGTCGGATTATGTGGAAAAGCACTTTTATATGAAGATTAGTGTAAATAAACGAGAGCGGTGGGGTCCATGAAGCCACTGAATCATGAGGCTGACTTTATGTACTCCTGGTGATTGGGCACTCAAACGTTATTGGCCCTCTCCTGCAGCCGCTCCTCGCCTCCGACCACGTTCAGAATGTTAGGCTACATTCACTCTGCAGGTCTTACAGCTCAATTCTGATTTTTGGATCAAATCCGATTTCTTTGTCTGCTTGTTCGCACTACAAATAAAATGTGACAGCAAACGCGCTCTAGTGTGAACCCTAAAAGCATGCGCAAAGGAAGACGTCACACACAACGCGCTCAGTTTAGACCCAGAGCAACAGTATGTTTGACTGTTTCAGACTTTACGTTTCCCAATTTTGCTTTAAGTTATAAAGTTATTGTGTGATTTGCATTTGGCCTAATAATGATCCTTATTGCTGTTTCAGAGGAGCGGTGCTTCAAAGGATAGCTGCAGATTTCTGTCGGAATCTGCAGATTATACAGTACAAAGAAAATGTTCACGTTTCTCCAACATTGTTCCCAACAGTTTCACTGGATGGCCAGGAAGCGTTCACGATGTCTTCTCTGGCGCTGATAATTGGCGTCCGTCTTGTGTCAGTGACGTAAAAGACGTATTTAATGTGACATGACCATTAAACAGCAGTCGCTTTCTGAAACATCAGATACGTATCAGATTCAGGACCACATACGAAAGTGACCCAGATCGGATTTGTGCCGTTCACACTGCCACACTACGATCGGATACACGTCGCACAGGGTCAAAGAAGTCGGATTTGATGCGCTTTCGCCTGCAGTGTGAACGTAGCCCAAGTCTGCATCTCTGCAGCGACGTGCATTAATGTGTTGAATCGTTAAGATCCAGCTGACGACTGGAGGTGTGTCCCCGTTTCTCATCATGTAGAGTCCATCTGTCACGTCCTGACTAACTGCATGGCAACTTATTCAATAAACCTGAAACCTGCTTCTGACCTGCACCTTGTGCTTTCTCAGTGTGTAAGATACTTACTGGTTTTAAATCACTTTTCTAACTGGTGCATAATTAACTTTAAAGAGAGTCAAATCTGAAATTTTGCATCTCATATTTTATGTTTACGAACATCTACACCAGAGGTGTCCAACTCCAGGCCTCGAGGGCCGGTGTCCTGCAGGTCTTAGATGTGTCCTTGATCCAACACGGATGATTTAAACGGCTAAATGACCTCAACGTGTCCTGCAGTTCTCCAGAAGCCTGGCAATGAATTAATCATGTGATTCAGGTGTGCTGACCCAGGGTGAGCTCTAAACCCTGCAGGACACCGGCCCTCGAGGCCTGGAGTTGGGCGCCTCTGATCTGAAAGACTCTTCTCTTTAAAGTAAGAAAATAACAAAAATAAAAAAAAGTCACAATTCGGATTTTTCTATGATCACAGGCGTCCATAACAATGTTGGTCTGCATTCTGGTTTGTTTCCTATAAACTAAATTTAAAAAAAGTTTGCCAACTAATTAGTTGTAAAGGCGATGGTGTTCAAATGTTTGAAATTGTCTGTGGTGATCCAGAATAACAAGAACAAAATCCGCATGTTAATGTTTGTGAACAAATCCATGAAACTGAAGTCAAATTCAGAGTTTTTATTGACGATCTGACAGGACGGCAGATTAAACAAAGCCTGAACAGAGCGGCGGGCCAACAGTCACACCAAAGAAAACTAAACTAATAAATAAAATACCACAGACGATAAAAACATGGAGGTGACGTCCAGGTATGAAAAAAAATAAGCCAGAGAGAAAGTGCCTGCGTTCTATCTGAAGGCCACCAGATGGCGATAGCTGTAGCTGCAAAGACTTCAGGCCCTATAGAGGTGAGTAGGCTCTGCATGGGTGATTAATGACACACGAACAAATCTGCGAAATGTGGACCCGCCTGGTTTCAAAGAGGTTACGTGAACTGCTGTTCTGCAGTGACGATCTCACTAACCAGCAGGTGGCGTCAGAGTAGGTACGTCCATCTTTTTGCCGTCCGTGCCCAAAACCCTGACAGGCATGACGGGAACGCTGTGGTGACGTTAAACAAGTTCTTAATTCTTTGTTTGATCTGAAGAAGAAACTGCACCAAGTCTGAACTCAGAGACGAACAGTTCGCAGGTTTTCACCTCAAACGTCCTGAGTTTTAGGTTTGTTTCCACAGCAGATTTAAGAGAAAATATAGAAAACAGCCACGACGTCACGGCTGGTCTGTCCACTCACTGTGAATGACGGCCACAAAATCATTTACAGGTAAAAGTTTTATATCAAGACTTTAGTTCAAGTTTAAAAACTGAGTCACTGCAAGTGAAGAGGACAAAATAAACCAGTGACTCAATCATGAATCTGTGGGACATGGAACTCAACGCGCGTTTACATTTGTTCCTTTCAGCCAAATTTATTGGTGATGAAATCAGTCGTGGTTAATGTTTACAGAAAAACAAAAACTCAGTGATATTAAAATGTCTTTTTTTACGTGTTTAATCCAAACTTTGATGTCATAATTTGGTCAAATGTCACAACCGTGACGACCTTGTTTTAATCTGCAGGGAAACAAAGAACCAGTCGGAGATACACAGGATCTTATTTTTCTTTCACAACTTCAGACTGAATATTTGGGAGGTTCTGGTCAAACTGGTCCCAGGAAACACCAGTGAAAGACCCGTTTTTAGCTAAAGCAGCGCTACGGAGCCGTCACATTCAAGGTTAATAATGGCCTGCCGTGTCACATCACCATCGGCTCCTTCAGTCAGGCCAAACAGACAAACCCTAATTTTTCCGTCCTCGTCGTGGGAACACGATGTCATGGTTTAACTTTCACGGCGCCAAATTACAACAACAGTTGCCTGAAGGTGCTCGTCAGCTACAGCGTACAGTAATACACACAGCACAACAGCGCTCAGGTGTTTATCTTTAATTACACTTACTTTCAATAATTTGGAGGAAACATCCATTCTTAACATTTTGTTTTGTCCTAGTCTGGGATCTTTGTGATGTCACAGAGGGCATATCCTTACACAGAGCCAGCAGCTTTCAGTCGTTTGGTTTGTACGAAGTTAAATTTGTCCGAGTTTGAAAGAGGCAGGAATCATGTTTCCATTCGTTTCAGGAATTTTAACCACAGCCACAGGAGGAGGCGGGGTTAGCAAGCACTGGGTTAAAGGGGGAGCTAAAACATTTTGTTTCTGACCGTTTTAGCTCCTCCCCTTTAAGACTTTACTGATTGGTCAACTTCAGGAAGCCTACAGAGGAGTAGGAGCTGCGAAATAACACAGCTGCAGAGTCATAGGTCATTGTTTCAGCCACAGCTCCGTCTGATCACTTCATCGCTGTCCGATATTTATTAATGGTTAATAAAGACATTGGCAAAGAGTGCGTCCTAAAGACCTTTGACCTGTGAAACAAAGGGGAAGCTGGGAGGTTTGGCATCGAACGTGACCCCTCACCCGCCCGCCGCAGACACACAGGAGTCCGACGGCGTGACAGACGACAATGATGGCGGCGTTGCTGAAGAGTCTACAGAAGGACGCAGTCTGAGTCCTTGTCTCTTCTCCTGGATTGCTGTGCCCCCTGACCTCTGACCTGGAACACCGTAACAATAACACAGTGTAATCACCTCATGTCACGGTTATTATTGTCACATTGAGATCAATAAAAAATCTTTTCATGGTGACATTTACGTGGCAGTCAGAGAACTACTTATTCTAATATTTCACACTCGTCTTCTGAACGCTAACTCAGGTGTTTTAAAGTGGACATGAAACTATGTGCATGAAGGCTCACTGACACCTGCTCTCAGACACTGATGTAACTCAGCCGGGTTTAACAAATAAGTGCTGAAAGTTTTAAAAACAGCGCCCTCTCCTGTCAGTACGCAGCGTGACATCACGTGGTTGGCTAACAGACTGAGCTAACAAGTGACAGGATCGATACCTCAGAGGAAAGGACAGTGAAGCTGACCATCAGTGTGAGGGGATCACTGTAGCGCTGCAGCAGTCAGTTCATGTTAAACCAGGATCTACAGTCACTTTACTGTCTGTGTCTGCAGCAGGAAGTGGCTGTTAGCTGTGTTTGTACAACACTTTATAAATGAGGACTGTGGAGGAGAGCCTGAGTCAGGTGACAGGTGGTTACCAGAGCGACGAGCTGGGCTCTGTGATGTAAACAAGCCTTCACGTGCAGAGTTTCATGCCCCCTTTAAGGTTCCGGTTCCACACCAATGATTCAGTGTGTCCTGTTTGAGACCTGATTTTGGATTAAGGTGTGATAGCAGTGGCCTACAAGTGCTGCCCACAGTCTGCCGGCTTGTCTCCAGGTGAGCTTACCTGCTGCACTGAACCCTGTTGCTGGAGTTGCTGCTGTTGCTGATATTCCTCCTGCTGGAGCTGCCGGGCCAACTCTAGGTCACTGAGGGGCCCTGGGGCCCCGCCCTGCTGCTGCTGCAGGGACACTGCCACAAGGTAGTCCTGACACCCACAACAACACCCATCAGAGACGTGCTAACGGGCCAAAGTGCTCGGTGGCAATGATATTACCTGGTGAGCTCACCTGGTCAATTTGCCGCTGCTGCTCCTGGGCGCTGGGTGGCAGGTGGGGGGTGGGTGGAGCTCTCTGAGGAGGATGACACAGCCGGAAATCGGAGTCGCAGAAGTTTCCATCACCCTCGACGTTATGAAGCGACTCCCAGACCACAGACTCCTCCTGCAGGAAGCCTTGATCTGTCACTAGCAGGTACAGGTGCCCCTGAGAGAGGAGACAAGTGCATTAGCAGCCCCACCTTGTGTCTGGTCATGGTACTGCAGTGTGTGTAACCCCACCTTGTGTTTGATCATGGTACTGAAGTGGTTGTTCCTGAAGAACACTGAGATCTCGCCCTCTCTGGCCGTCGCGTTGAGCTCACACAGGCCGTGATACGACAGCTGAGTCGCCGTCGACTCCAGAAACTGCTCCGCCACCAGGCCTGCCCGGCACAGACGTGCACAATTATTATGTTCGGGCCATCGTGTACATATTGGGTACTGTGCACAAACACGTTACCTTCACTGACTCGGCTGCTTTCTGCAGAGTGTTTGTAGTCAATGATTTTCTCCACCAGTTGGTTGTAGCTCAGTTTGCCCACAGCAGCCACCATCTCTGGACTCTGAACACACAATCAGGAATTTTACATCATTCTGTCCTGTGGGCGGCCACAGAGAGTCTGACTGATCGCGCCATGTCACAAAAAACAAAAATCCCACATGGACATTAAAAACCTGCAATCATGCCACTTCACTGTGCAGCATCATCAACATTACACGTCACACTCCAGCCAGACAATGAAGGAGAGAAACACTTAAACCGATGTTAACTATGATATGAAAACATGTTACTACAAAAGATGTTCATGTGTTACTCAAATATGACAGATTAACGTCCGCTAAACTAAAAGTGTGCCGTGCAATATGAATGACGCACGCTTGACAGCCACTTCAGTTCAAACTAGGGGTGGGTGATATAAACGATATAAATTTGGCCTACGATAGAGATTTTGACTATACCGTTCTATCGCGATAGCGCATGTTGATGTCATCAAGCTGCGCCCGTTTTGGTCAAAAGCATCGCAGCGGCTACAACCATTATCATCTGCAAATTATGGCGGGCGACAGTCACAGTAAAGAGATGAAGCACTGTTGAAATGTGGGGAAAGCCAAAAACTGCACTTCCGTAACATTGATTCATAAATGTTGAATTCTCTCACAGCTGCTCTGTTCCCATGTTGTTGCAGTATATTAATAACTAACCTCGTATTGTGGATGAATGATCTCAGTTGTTCTCCTGACTGAAGTTTGGCCCGTGTACAGCATCCTGCTATGCGATTGCATTTGTTCCTGACCACCAGAATCCCTCACGTTAACTTTTGTCAAGTGGAAAAAAAGTTGGCTTCATCCTGCAGCTTCACTGTGCTAATGTTATGCTAACATAGCTGTGTCGCTAGCAATCACGTAGCACAACATTATGTACCAGCTAGCCCAACTTCAGTAACCCTGCAAACGCCACTGCCGTAATGCTCTGACAAGCCATCAAGCAGTGCGGCTTACCAAAGTTGTACTAAAACATTTTAACAGATTTCTGCAACCAAAATCGGTTTGAGGTCAGTAAGCGCAACCAGAATTCATACATAAGGCACACTCTCGATTTTTGAGAAAATGAAAGGATTTTAAGTCCTTATAGTGTGGAAAATACGTTATACAGAAGAAAAGAATATATCGCGATATATATCGTTACCGCACGTGCTTCAAATTATATCGCGATATGAATTTTAGGCCATATCGCCCAGCCCTAGTTCAAATCTAAAAATAAGAAAACAATAAATTACACATCCGTTTTTTTTCCCGCTCATCTTAAGTTGGGTCGTGGGGGCAGCAGCAGGGAAGCAGGGCCCTCCCTCTCCACGCCACCCCCAGCTTATCCGGGGACACGTGAGACGTTCCCAGGCCAGCCGAGATGTAATCTCTCCAACGTGTCCCGGGTCCAAGCCCGGGCCTCTTCCCGGTACGACATGCCTGGCAGGAACACCGTGCCCAGGAGGCGACAGCCTTAGCTGCCTCCTTGTGATGTGGAGGACTAGTGGCTCTGCTCTGAACCCCTCATAACGACTGAACTCTCTCCTAAGACAGAGCCCGTCCTCCTGACGGAGAACCGCTGTTTGTAACTACGATCTTATTCTAACAAAGAGATGAGATTAACAGGTGTGTCATCAACGATGCGCCGTCCGGTGGCAGATAGCTGCATAACATTTAAGATGATATTTTACCAGCATCAGGAATCAATTAGCATTTTAACAACTAGGTTAAACAATTAGTAAGTCTGGCACCGACCAACACTTGACTTTTGTTACGGCCCAAGCGTTGCCTGTGTGGGCGTGTCCTACCGTCTCTCCTGCCTCAGCTGCCACCTTTTGAACAGCTCACTCCTTTCAGCAATTAAAAGTATTTCAGGTGAGCTCTGGTGCCAGAGAGCCATGTTAGTGGTTGCAGGTAGTGAGCTGTGTTTTGTGATTGTTTGCTCCTGCTTGGTGGAGAGGACTGTGTTTGATCACCAATCCTTTTTTGACTTTTCAGTTTACTGACCAACGCTTGAGTTTTGTTCTGCTTCTTTAAATGTTGATAGCGGCTCGTCCGTCTCTTTTAGTTCAGTTACTAATAGAAGCGGTCAGCTGTCACCGAAGGCATGAAGACGCTAGGACACGCCCACACAGGCAACTCCAGGAGGCCCAGCTGAGGCCGTAACGCTTTTTCCAGACAGTTTATTAATACTTTCCTTCATTTGTTCATATTTTCTTTCATTCTATAAATATTCTGTTTTCTAAACATCCTGATATCTTTCTGTCTATTGTGTTGATAATTTAATGTCAGAACATTTTATTAATTTTCTTTCTTCATCTGCAGCTCTATCAGCCAATCAGCTGACAGTACCCATGGGGATTGGCTGAACGAGCCAATCACCTGCTTCATCATTCAGAGCATTTTATCCAGAGCTCACACAGGTTCGGGAGAAACTCCGGGGTTTGATCCCTTGCTCAAGAGTACTTCAAGAAGCAGACTGGAAGAGTTGGGGGTCAAACCGCTGACCTTGCATTGTTAAAACCTCGTTAAGGACCTGGACAGTCCTGCGTTTACGCTCACACACACTCACCTGAGGGTCGACCAGCCAGCCGTGGTACAGCGGGATGTCCAGCAGGTCGAACACGATGCACTCGGGCGTGTATTCAAAGTCCGTGACGCCAGTGAAACGCACATTGACGTCCAGCCCCGTAGACAGCTTCGGGAGGACCGCCATGGCGTCGCTCATGTTCTGCAAACACACACGCCCACGTTAAGGTCTCCTCCCCAAAACGGTGTGCTAATTGAAAGCGTGTATGGGAACCAGCATGTCCGTGTGCTTCCTTGGTACCTGCTGGAAGTTGAGCTCCATGCCGTCGGCCTTCTGTCTGGGAGTGACGGACAGCACACACTCTCCTGAACAACGCACACACAGGAACATCGTCAGCAGGACAGCCCGCCACGACCTGACCAGCTCAAACACTCACAGGTGAGAATCCTGGTTTAACCCGACGTGTTGCAGACCGTGTACCATGTGACCTCCGCGGACAGTATCATTCTCGACAGCTGTGCCAGGAGCGAACTCATCGTCTACTTAACGTGGACCCTCCACGTTTACGAGCGAGCGCCCAGCCTCCTGCTCGTGCTACCCGGCACGTTTAATTTCATCATCGATACGTTTGATACATTACCCACAGTCGCTCTTACCCAGGTGAGCCATCAGGTCCTCTGTGGTGACCACCTCAGTCTGAGCAGGAAGCTTGGCCTGCGGCGCGACACACACACACACACACACACACACACACACACACACACACACACACACACAGGTCAGTTCATTTATAAACTTTATCAAGCGTGAGCGCCGGTGTCTCCTCTTCTGTCCCTCACTAAAAAAGATCAAAGCTGTTTACGACGACACAGACGTCTGCACAGTTACATCATTTTAGAGTGCTCTGATTGGTTCTCAGAGGAACATCTGAAACCACGGTCTACATAACGGTTCATCCAAAGTGTCTCATTAGCTGCTCAACCACCTGAGGCCAGCGGCCGCCACAGGCGAAGCACAGGTGAACCCACAGCACCGGATTCACGTACACCACATGGTTCTAACAGTTAACTTCCTGTTGCCACTAGGGGGCGCTGTGAGTGTTATTGACTATTCTAGATGCGTCCAGGTGTAGATCCCACCAAGCACGGGAAGTCTGGGAGAACACTTATAAGAGCTTCATGCACTGCAGTGCCGCAGACACACCCTTCCAACGAAAAGTCAAAGGCTTTGTGATTTAATGCTGCCACCGCCGTCTTCGGGGCGACCTGTCACAACAGCCCAGTCCAACATCTTCGAGGAGCTCATCCTGGTACTGTGACAGCGCGCATGGGAACTATCCATTATCGGTAGAATCTATACTTACTGATCAGATTCGTTATCGATTCTCCGCTTTGAGGGTGACCGTCATCACTAAGCAGCACATCTAAGACCTTCATGCAGACTAATTTCATGCTGTGGGCCACATGTTTGTTTGTTGAGACTCGATAACGAATCTGATCAATAAGTATAGATTCTATTGATAATGGAATCAGAATTGCTAAATTCTTATTACGTCCCACGCCTGCTGTCACAGTACCAGGACGAGCTCCTCGCAGATGTTGCACCAGGATGATGTGACAGCTTGTTACCTGTTGAAGTTCAGGCGCTAGCTGCTAGGCTCTGGTCTGCATACACTGAGCTTTAGCATCACTCTTGTTCTTGGCTGGCTTAGCGTTAGCATATTGTCTGACTAGCTTAACGTTAGCATGCTCTCTGTGCAGATGTGGGCACAGAGCTGAACTTGTGCTTGAACTTTAGCATCGCGTTCGCGTCCTTTTGTGCAGTAAAAACAATTTCAAGGACCTGAACTACTAGGAAAGGGTTCTCCCATGCCTTCTAACGAGGCCAGCTTCCCTGGGAACCAAAGCCACCTTTCAGCTGCTAGAAATCTGACTTGAACCTTTCCCGGTCTTCGGCGCAAGTCTGAGCATGACAACAACGAGCTCAGACCGACTGGAACCTGGGAGCTCTGAGCCCTGCCCTTCCAAACAGCTGGAACACGTAACATGCACCTCCAGGTTCTTATGTTACCATGACGACGCAGACAGGAAACACCTGCCCTGACTTCCTGAAGGTTCTCAGGCAGATGTTTGTGTACCTGCGTAGTGCAACTTGTTGTCTTTAGATTTGTGTGCTGCAGCTGGGTGGAGATGAACATCCACCTGCCGCTCCGCCCTTTAAATGATGGTGATTCTCACCTTCCAGCGCAGGAACAGCGTGTTCATGATGGCCAGCAGGGGGCAGGGTCCGTTCTCACTCTGGGTGATGATGGGTGTCTTCTTCTCCTTCCAGGTGATCCACTTCACCAGGTAATACGCTGGCATGGAGGGCCCAGGCTCCGGTGCCGCAGTAGGAGGAGCAGCAGCACCCCCTGTGGGGAGGGGGAGAAATGCAGTCACACTCAGCTAAACAAAGTTACATTTATTTGGAGTACTAAGGTGTCATCCCAAAATAAACCCAGAGAAGAAGTGCAGTCAGGCACCAGGCTGAGCACAGTTTCAGTAACATGGACGCCTCACCGGCAGCTTCCAGCGCCGCCTCGTCCTGCAGACTCGGGACTTCGGTGGATGGCGAGCAGCCCTCCGCACCCAGCGCCGAGTACGACGACGACAGGCCGTCATCCACATCCAGGGAGTTTCCTGTTGTCACGACCCCATCCGATAGCTCCAAGCTGGGGATGGAGAATGATGCCGAGTCCGTGGACTCCAACTGGTCGTCTGAGCCACCCGCTGTCGCCACCGAGGAGCTTTCCTCCACGTCCAGACCTGCGGACAATAGAAGCACCATGAGGGATCCTCTGGGCATCTTAGGCCCCGCCCTTCACCCATGTCTCCTCCTCTACCTGGTCCTGCCCCAGCCTCCGTGGGTTCCTCTGTGGTGGTGGCGATTGTTAGAGTCATGTTTTCAGATGATGGACTTGGCGATGATTCTGGCGGCGTGGGTGTGGCCTCTTCCTCCTCCTCCATCGGGACCTTGGCGAGCGCAGGGCTGTCAGCGGCGCCGCCACTTGTGTTGGGGATGTCAGTTCTGAGGTGCGCTGGTGTCACGCTTAAGGTGCATTCTTTGGAGAAAGTCTGTGAGCTGACAGTGGGCTCCTCTGAATCGCATTTCATCTCCAGGTCAGCGATGGCGGCAGGCTGCTCCCTGGACTCCTCCATGATCAGCTGACGGCTTCACAGGCACGACTCCGTATGACAACACGTGGAGAGAGATGACTTAGACGGACGTGGTCACGAGAGAAACTAGACCTCAGCATCGGGTGGCTTTAAGACAGCAGGAGGCGCTCCAACATGGCCGCCAGGAGATCGTCACGAGAGAACGATCACCTGCCCGGCGCCTGCCAAGGGTGTTGGAAAACAGACACACCGGTCTACCTGAGAGCAACCATGGCTGCAGAAAATCTGAGCAGAGAAGAGACGCAGCACGGCCCTCTGACATCAGTCACACCTGAGGAAACACAGAAGAAGAAGTCAGCAAACACACGTGTGTGTGTGTGTCTCTGTCTGTGTGTCTGAGTTGTGGAGTTAGCTCAGAGCTGTGTGCAGCCATGAGGCTGATTTAAAGATGGATTCCGAGTGACGGTGCAGCGTCACCTCCATCCACTAATTTCTCAGATCTGTGACATCACAGAAACATTGTGTGTGCCTCACAGGTGTAAACTCTGATAAACATCTGCACACTCTCCACTTGACGGTCAACACTGCACATCCACCCTCAGCTGTTTGAACGGAAGCAGCTCCCCCCAAGCTGTGGGGTACAGCTGTGACCGTGAGAGAAGCAGGGGTGTGGCTGAGAACGCAGACCGGCACCTGGACCGCTGCTGTACACCTGAGCTCCGAGCCTTACAGGTGACCTGTACTGGGGGGGTGGCTGCTTCACTCCCAAGATCGACGTGAAGGAAAGTTGTTTCCCATGACGCTCCTCAAATAGGTGAGAAGAGTTCAGCGGTGACTTACGCTCGCACACACACGGGTGGCAGCCTCAGCTGACCCCGGTCTTGCGGAGCGGTCGGTTAACCCTGCTCTTCCGGTTAACCCCGACATCCGGGCCAGTGCCCTTCTCCCGAAAACCGGTCAGCTTACTGGGTCCGGCGCGGATTCGCGGAGAACGCTGACGCTGGCAGATGAACGCGCGTGCTACCTGTTTACATTCCTCTCCGCCAGGTTCATAGGTCCCGCCCACATCCGCTAAGCTTCAGCAGCCTACGCTGCCTGTTAGCCAACTGGCTAGCTGTGAACTTTTTCTGTCGTAAAATTGTCATTAATGTTCACGCGCAGCAGCTCGTGAGGGCCTGGGAAGAAACGCAGAGAAACCAAACAAGCGGAACTCCGAGCGGAGCGGGAAGCCGCTTCAACACGAACCGTACAGATGTTACACACCGCGTTAGCTTAGCATGAGCTAGCTGGCACTGACAGCCAAACGCGATAAGACTTTTTTAACTTTATGTCCTTTTTGGTCTCTGAGCGGGGCAGCATTCACAGCCACAGCGGCGCACTCACCTCTCAGACCGCGGGCACGCGCTGTCGGGTTCGGCCAATCAGAAACATGAAGAAAATAAAACGTTACAAACAAAATGTGACGTTTTCACAGCTTCAACTCGCGTCGTACCCTCCTGACAGAGCAACTTCTACTCGGTAAACGTCACGTCCGGTCTCACCTTAGCTCCCTCACCTTATTCCACAGAGTGCGTTACATCTGTGGACCACGGTAACATGGGCGGGCGGTGCGCTCACCTTTGACTGTTTTCGTACAAACCCCGCCTCCATTACCCAGGCTTCACGAATCGAGCCGAGGTGGACCGAAAACTGGGCAGGGAGAGTCTATCCAGTTGACTCCGCCTCCAATCCAACCAACCAGACGTGAAAGTGTTCTGTTTTGTTTTATTAGAATTTGTTTATTATTTCAAGTACATATAGAAAAATGGCAACTAGAGCTGCATAAATTCAATGGATACAACGAATTGCCAGAAGGAGTGATTACAGTAACAATATAACCACATAAATCAGAATCAGAATACCTGGGGGAAATTATTTTTTGTTACAAAACATACATAAAACAGAGATAATGAATGTTGACAGTGACATAGATGTGTACACATGTCTAAGTTGCAAAGTTGAGTGAAATGCTGCCTTTTAGATAAACAAAAACAAACAACAAAGGGTAAATATATTATAAAATAAGATAAGATGACCTTTATTAGTCCCACAGGTGGGAAATTTGTTTTGTTACAGCAAAAGTGCAAAGTTATGTAGCAGAAATTAGAAAACACTGGAATGCAATAAAATACAATAGAATAAAATAAAATACTATATACAATAGAATAAAATAGAATAGAATAATATATACAATAGAATAAAATACAAATACAAATACTATATACAACTGAGTAGGAAAATACAAAAATACAACTTCGTCAGAAGAAGAATTGCATAAGAATTGCACATATAGCAGTCTTATTGCACATGTGTGGATGTGTGTGTTTGATCAGCTGCAAAAGTCTTTGTTGTGGAGTCTGACAGCAGTGGGGAGGAAAGACCTGTGAAATCTCTCCGTCCCACACCGTGGGTGCCGCAGTCTCCCACTGAAGGAGCTGCTCAGTGCTGTCAGAGTCTCCTGCATGGGGTGGGAGATGTTGTCCAACAGGGATGACAGCTTAGCCACCATTCTCCTGTCACTCACCACCTCCACTGGGTCCAGAGGCCACACCATAGAACATGGCTATTCAACTACGAAGTTAGTTGGGCCAGATTTTCAAACCGAGGAATTTATCTGGGCCAGATATTTTTTTTGAAGCCGGTAAGCAACAGATCATGATCAATTTCAAACCCACACAACTGTACTGGAAAACAAGTTCTTTTTTTTTATTCCTTTTCCCCTGTAAATCTGGTGACCTCACAAATGCACACCAAAAGGTCCCTTTTAAAAAAGGGGGGCCATAACTAAACTATTTTTTGCACATTTGAAATAATAATAATAATAACAAAAAAACATTTTGATAATTCCCTTTCAAATTAAAATAAATATTTCGCTGACCACTCATTTTTCCTGCCATGGATGGAGACACGCTTCATATCCAGACCATTTTCCTCAAAAAGAGCTGAAATCTTCTCAAACATTATTTCGCCAGCTGTGTGTCCCTCTAACGGTAGTAAGCCGAGCAATTTCCCATCCAAAAAACGGACATATACGCACAACTGTGCATTATCAGTTCTGTCTGTGATCTCCTGCTATAGACATTACATCAGTTTTCTTCAGGTCATTTAACAGCATTTCAAACTCGTCTGACGCCAGAACTTCAACTCTACGAATATTTGAACTGTCCTACAGGGGTACGTTTTTAATAGCAGATGTCACACTTACTTTAATTTATTCATCACTTTTCACCGCATCTACCACGGCCAGCATGCAGTATTTCACCGTTTCAGAATCTGTGAAAGGCCTTTTCTTCTTCGCCAAGAAGCAGAAAGGGAAGATGCTGCAGCTCTCTCTTGGGCTGTACAGGACCCTCACCATGGTAGTACAACTCCTGTTGTACTACCATGTACATTGGTAGTACATCTTACCATAATGTAATAATAATGGTAATAATTACAACATGGTAATAATCTTACCATGTTGTAAGATTATTAAACTCGGTAAAATGAATAAGTATTTGTCAGTCCGGGCAGGGTTAAACCGACAGTTTTCATTGTCAGTTTCATTTTGCGCTTTAGGAGTGAGAAAGACGTGCTGTTGTCGCATCATATATTACAATGATTGTTTAATATGTTTACATCACGGTGCATTGTGGGTTAAATATTGCTAGGCTACTAGAAATGTTGCATTCACAGTCTACACTACGCTGTAGGAATTTTTAATTTTTAAAAAAATTAATGAATGAATTAATTTTTTTGCGTTTTCTCTATGTTTCTGCCAGGACCACAGGCAGGGCCACTCGCAGGTTGCTTCTGGGCCGCATTTGGCCCGCGGGCCGCCATTTGAATAGGCTTGCCATAGAAGATGGCTGAGGCCACCACAGAGTCATAGAAGGTCTTCAGGAGTGGGCCCTCCACTCCAAACGACCTGAGTCTCTGCAGCAGGTACAGCCTGCTCTGCCCTTTCCTGTAGAGGGCGTCTGAGTTATGAGTCCAGTCCAGTTTGTTGTTCAGATGAACACCAATGTTTCAATTATCCATAATTCAGGGGGTTGTGAAGCTCATTTTGTAACCGGAAGGTCGCCAGTTCGACCTCCGCGTACACTGACGGCCTCTGACTGTAAAGTCATGTTAATGTCATGTTAAGCATTTTGTTAACAAGGCGACAGTGTTGGGGAGTAACGGAGTACATGTACCGCCGTTACGTATTTAAAATACAAAATATGAGTAACTGTATCCGTTACAGTTACCGTTTAAAAAGGTGGTATTCAGAATACAGTTACTTTGTTGAAATAAATGGATTACACGGCGGTACTTCCTGTTTCATATGTTCGGCTATGCCTTCTCTATGTTTGGTAATTCCACGCCGTTGGAAACCCAAACAAAACACGCATTAAGAGGCTCAAATGCCCGTGTTTCAATCTCGCGTCTCATAATGACGTGAAGAAATATTTTTTTAAATGATTTAATATGAAGGCAACAGGCAGAGTGTTACAGACATCGCCCTAAAGCCTGATGGGCAGTGTAGTCTGTGCTGCAGGGAGGATGGACCCGTGATGTGTCTGTGAGTGAGGGAGAAAAAGGAAAAGTAGGAGCTGTCACGTAGCAGAAACGGGAGCTGGAAGCATGTAAATATAATAATAACCACTGCAGCCAAACAGAGAGCCTGACGAGCCCAGCTGTAAGTAAGCTGTTAAGACTCGACTGTACACCGTGTTCGTGTTTTCCTCTGAAACAATAAGCTCCGTTGGAGCAGCCTTTCAACGCCTCTCTCTGTCTCTGCTAGCAAAGTGACCCAGACAACAAAGTAAAGCTAGTTTTCAGCTACGAGCCGACACGAACCCGACGTATTAGTCAGAGGTCCCTTTACTACGGTTTGGAGCCGCTCACCTGTTTTATATACGCGCCGAATAGTTTCTATACGAGATCGCTGCAAAAAGTGCAGCCTGACCTAATGTCCACCTACTGTTACTCATTTATATTAAGATTTGAATCTAGCTGGTGTTGGTGTGGAGAGTAGCCTTCAGTAATAGTAATAAATCACATTCATGTAGCTGTAAAAAGCATGATCATATATTAAGTAATCCAAAGTAATCAGGATACGTTACTCTCATTGAGTAACGTAACGGAATATGTTGCAAAATATATTTTGGGGCATGTAATCTGTAATCTGTAGTGGAATACATTTTAAAAGTAACCTTCCCAACACTGCAAGGTGATGGGTTGATATCCTCCTTAGGTCCCTCCCTTATGAAGACGGTCCTTGAGTCATTTCCTCATTATCCAGTTACACTTAATGACTTAGTTGGTATAATGTTAAAATGAAACCCTCGCTAGAGTTCGTACCTTCCTCTGTCCTGTGTTTAACCATGCTAAGGCAATTCCCTTACTTAACACTGTAACCCCTAACACGCTGCTGGCCAAAGGTTTTTACAACACTTTTTAAAATTACTATAACTTTTGAACAGATTGTGAAAGCAGCGATTCTGCGCTGTTTAGCGATATTAGAGTCATTGCTGTAATCCCAAGCACGTGTCACTCAGCCCTGGAGAGGCTGCTTCACTAAAAATAGCCTCTGTGCCAAGACTGAGGCCATAATTACAGCTCCTCAGTGATCGCTTCTGTTTGCTCATCTGCAGAAACCAGTGTTTGTAATCGCAGTCTGCAGACCTTTGGTTTTAAACCATGTTACATTAAAAAGCCCAGAATAAAAGATGCAGACACACTTTTTATGTTTTTGATCTCTTTACTTTCTCAGGTGAAGTCTTGGTTTCTGATGGTAGGTGGTTTCTCTAATTGGGAATCTTGATACCTTCACCTTCAGCACAGAAACCTGCAGAGAGAAACAGACAGTTGCATCACCTGATTCACCTCAGACTGATTTCTCAGATTCTGGTGCAAACAGTTAAAGTGAAGCACTTTTCTCTGGGTTGTAGATGAAGTCCGGGTCTCCGGAGAAGCCCAAGCATGTTGCCTGCTGCTTGAAGTGTTCCAGCTCCGGCTCCTTCAGGGTTGACTCTTTGCCTGCAAACAAAAACACTCAAACGGATGAACATTTTGGATTTTAAATGAGAATTTTAACTTCTGTGTCTAATTTTCGTCCTACCCAGAAGATAAAGGGAATGAGCAACGAACTCATCGCTGGCATCTATATCGATCTTCAGTAATTTAAGCAGACGTTTGG